GAGGGAGAGAGAGAGAGAGAGAGAGAGAGAGAGAGAGAGAGAGAGAGAGAGATTTTATTTAGTTATTTTTAATTAGGTGTGTGTTTGTCAGTGTGAGTATAGCTATCTGAGGAGGCCAAAAGAGGGCGCTGTCCCCTGGTTATAGGTTGTGAGCTACCTTGATGTGAGTGCTAGGAATCGAACTCAAGTCCACTGGAAGAGCAACAGGTGCTCTTAACCACTGAAACATCTCTCTAGCCCTAGAATAAATTATTTCTAAAAAACAAATACTTCATGTGTAGCTGGGTAGTAGAGTGCTTGTCTACCATGTTCAAGGCTCATGGCTCAATTCCCAGTATCATAAAAACTAAATAAGGTAAATATTAGATTCATAGATATGCACACTTTCCCCAGATTCATGCATATTCCAGTTTCCCCAGGAAACATTTCGTAGTAATATATATGGATTTTTTTAACAATAAGAAGTCAGGTGTAGTACAACGGAATCTAAGAGGTTGAAACAATAGAATTTTGAGTTTGAGGTCACTCTGGACTATGTAATGACAGCTTACCTCAAAAAAGGAATAATTTTTAACAATTGAATAAATTGTGAAAAAAACTATATAGCAGTCAAAATGAATAAGCACTATAGCTTCCTTTTTAAAATCAAAGATAAATCTTAGAAACAATGTTAAGTATAAAACACAAGTTACAGGCAGAGCCAGGCGGATCTCTGTGAGTTCGAGACCAGCCTGATCTACAGAGTGAGTTCCAGGAAAGGCGCAAAGCTACACAGAGAAACCCTGTCTCGAAAACAAGCAAACAAACAAAAGACACAAGTTACTTAAAATGATCAAAAAGTGGGGTGTGTACACTATGTATATATGTATGTGTAGAGCTGGAGAGGTACCTCAACAGTTAAGAACACATAACTGCTGTTACTGAGGATAAGAGTTCCTTTCCTATCATCCATATTGGATGGCTCACAACTCCTCTAACTCTAGTTCCAAGGGATCCTGTGCCATCTTCTGGCCTCCACTGGCACTTGCTCTCATGTGCATGTAAACACACACAAAAGCACATAATTAAAAAAAATTATACCCCAAATTAAAAGTATTGAAAAGACAAGCTGCCAAATTATACAAATGGCATCATTTATTAAAATGAAAGTGCCAAATTAGTGTTGGGGTAAATAGATATGTAACTGAAGTATCAATAAAAATGAGATGATACACACAAAATTTAGACCATTGGTCTGAATTTTGGCCGGGCAAATCATTAGGAGCCCAAAGTGCATGCATGATGCAGCTGCTGACTTGGTCTGAAGGTAGAGAACAGGTCCCAGGTGCACATTGCATTAGGCTTCATGACATTTATTGTGAACACTCTTATAAAAAATCTTTTTGTTAGATTTGTTCATTTTATTTATTTATTTATTATTATTTGTTTTTTTTTTTTGTTTTTTTTTTTTTTAGATAGTCTCTTAATTTTTGGAACATTGCAGAAATTTTAACTCTAGGGCACCCTAGAACTGTTTTTCGAGACAGGGTTTCTCTGTGTAGTTTTGGTTCCTGTCCTGGATCTTGCTCTGTAGGCCAGGCTAGCCTCGAACTCACAGAGATTCACCTGGCTCTGCCTCCCGAGTGCTGGGACTAAAGATGTGCACCACCACTGCATGGCTAAAATTTTTTTTTTTGAGACAGGGTTTTTCTGTATAATCCTGGCTGTCCTGGAACTTGTTTTGTAGACTAGGTTGTCCTTGAATGCAAAGATCTGCTTTGCCTCTGCCTCCTGAGTGCTGGGATTAAATGAGTGCACCACTATCACCCAGCACCTTTATCTCTTTAAAAAAAATTATATATATATCTGAGTGTGGTGGCATACGCCTTTAATCCCAGAATTTGGGAGGCAAAAGGCAGGTGGATTTCTGTGAGTTCGAGGCCAGCCTGGTCTACAGATCGAGTTCCAGGACAGCTAGGGCTGTTTATACAGAGAAACGCTGTCTCAGAAAAACCAAAACTAAAAAATATTTATTTATTTTATGAGTCTTGTACCTGCATATATATATGTATATGCAGCATATGAGTGCCTGGTACCCAAGGAGGTCAGAAATGGGCATCAGATCCCCTGGAACTTGAGTTACAGCTGATGGTGAGCCACCATGTGGGTCCTGAGAACCAAATTTGGGCCATCTCCAAGAGCAACAGTGCACATTACTACAGGGCCATCTCTTCAGCTCCCACATATGCTCTTTTGTGTGTGTTGGGTACTTCATAGTTTTATCAGAAAATAACACCAAGCTTGAGAATGGGAAGAGAAACTGGTACACTTGATGGGTTTGGAGAAGTTTTGAAAGAGATATAGATGAGCTACTCTAGATGTAAAGCTTTTCGTTCAAGAAACGAGGGAGTGAGCACAGGACCAGACTTGAGAAGGAACAGCGCTGCAGGGCGGAGTTAGCAGGGACAACCCTGCATTTGTCACTCCTTGTCCTGTAATGGAAGCTCGAACAATTGCCTTGTGGAGTAGTTGCACCAGGGATTAAAGGGAGAATGGACGTAAGCATGGGCGAGCAAGCTGTGGTGGGTACCGTTGATGATCCTCAGAATCTGGGATGCATGCTCCAGGTGCTGTGTACTTGTGAAGGCGTGGTGGGGCCTGGATGGCACAAGGATGCCAGTGTGACTTAGTGAGCAGCACTCAGTAGACAGGACAAGGACTTGTGTTAGTAGATTCTTAGAGTTGATATTAGGGGTTGACAATTATATCACTTCAAGTCAGTCCATGCTGTTTTTTTTGTTTTTTGTTTTTTGTTTTTTTCCTTTCTTTCATTTTTTTTCTTCCGATTTTAGTACTGGGAAATTTGGTGCTTGTTTTATACCAGGACTGTGTAAGCAAAGTGACCTAACCCTGTACGCAGCCCGGCCTGGACTACGGCTGTGGAAGGCCGATGTCCACGGGACGGTTCAAGCCACGTTTATCCTCAAGGATGTCTTTGCTGGAGGAGTCACGCCTTTTGAGCTCTACCCTCGTCTGGAGCCTGATGGGGGAAGCTGCAGCTCTCCTGAGAAACACCTGGGGCTCGTTTCGTGCTTCTTTCGGGAAGGCTGGGTGCTGAGCTGGAATGAGTACAGTATCTATCTTCTGGACACCGTCAACCAGGTGTGTGGGAACTGCACCTGTCTTTGGGGGTCACGGGTCACGGGGCAAGAGGAGGGTCAGGGCCTCAGGTGTTCAGCCCCTGGGCTCCTGGAGAGATGAAGGAGCAGCATTAATTCTAGTGCTTGCTTTTTTTTTTCTTTTCCTTTGAGACAATCAAGGAAATCAAATGGAGTTCAGTAATTTTGTAGATTCGAAAAATAATTTGCTTTTTGACATTCATAGCCCTACTCTGCCAAGAAATTAGATGTTTTGGGGGGTCTTTAAAGCCCCAAGTTAAACTTGTTCATTATAACCTTTCTGGGTCATTTTTAAAAATTATATTTGTGTATGTTGTGTGTATGTGCATGCACATGTGCCTACTTGTGATCACACCTGCACGTCCTGGCACCCATGTGGAGGTCACACTACAACTTGTGGAGTTGTTTCTGTCCTTCCACATTGGGTCCCAGGGCTTGAACTCAGGTCTTCTGGTTTGATGGTAAGTACCCTTACCTTTGCTGCCAAGCCTCTCACTGACCCACCCTTCCCTTCCTTTCTTTTCTTTTCCGTGCATGCATGTATGTATGTGTTCATGCATGCATGCAAACATTTTTCTTGTGATTGAACTCAGGGTGTTTGTGCATGTTAAGCACATGCTCTGCCTCACTTCTAGGTCCTGTATTTTGTTTTAGTTTGGCATTTGCAGAACTTGGGTTTGAACCCAGGGCCTCATGAATGTTAGTCAGATGCTCTACTATTGAGCTATATCATCAGCCCTGTATTGTTTTTGTTTTTTACTTTTTATTTTGACAGAGGGACTCATTAAGCTGCCCAGGCTGGTCTTGAACCCTTTCTGTAGCTCATATAGGCCTTAAACTTTTGATTGCCTTGACTCAGCCTGTCAAGTGCCTGGGATTACACCTGTACCACCAGGCCTTCCTAGATTATGTGTTTTCTGGCTACTAAATTACTGTGGTCTCATCCAGTGATGGATCAAATGTTAGAGAAACAGTAACTCTGAGGACTGACGCCCAGGCCTCACAGATGGTGCCAGCCCAGGAGCAGGGCCCTTCCCTCCCACGCGCTCTTCCCTTGTTGCTGTGTTGGTTTGTTGGTTTTTTTTCTTCTTCTTTTACTGTGCTTCTTATCCAAAGACAGCCATATTATTTTGCCTTTTTCCCCTTTCTTTTTAGAAACTTACTGGCATATCTTGGCAACTTCCCAGGATCATTAACTCCCAGTAGAAAACGAGTTCTGCCTGGATCAAGGTGATAACAGGTCACTCCCAGAATCTGATTTAGGACTTTAAACAAAGCTGTTTGGTTTCAGTTACTTCTTGTCCTAAGATCAGAGCTCTGGCCTGCCCCACTCCCTACTCTAGGCCTCCAGAATCCAGGCCAGGCTCTCTCCCTCCACATTAGCTCTGTGGGCCTGTGGCTCAGCATCTCTAGAGAGAGCATCCACAGTGAATCAAACTCAGCTGCCCCACTGACACCTCCCTAGTTACCAGCCATGCTTGGTGACACTTTTGGTGCAGAGGTAACTTGGCCCTACAAGTCTATGATCTGCCTGAACTTGGTTCTCTTATCTGTACAGTGGGGCACCAGGGTTCTAGATTAAGGGCTCACCTTCTAACCTTTCATTAGTTTATTTAGTTTCTCCCATTATGGATGACTTAACTTTTCTCCTGGGTTCCTGTTGAACTTAATTATTGGCTTTAAGACATGTTGCAATTATGCACCAGTCCTTTTCATCTGAGCGCTTCCCCTGTGCCTCTCAACACAGGTATAATTAACTTCATTTCATAGGCAGGGAAATGGAGACAGTGTGTCTGTGAACAGACACTGCTCCACCATCAGAGTCTGCACCTCTCGGAAGCACCATGATTGGCAGCTTTGGGAACCTACTGTCGTGTTTCCAGCTTTCTGTCAAGGCTGCCTAAAAATTAGCAGGGAACCTAGGCTCAGTGTCTCCTGCAGTGAACTAATCTCCCATACATACTATCAGCTGAAAAGAAAGAACTGGTTTAGATTTGTGTGGACTCAGGATAATCCCATGGGGTGCAATCTGCTTTTAGCCAGGGACCTTTTTCCTCCCTTCTTTCATTCACTCAAAAGTCTTGGGCTGCAAGGCTCCTAGTCTCCCCTAGGAAAGCACAGAATAGGGGCGTTGGTTGGCCAGTCCAGGAGAGACGCATGACATGGAGGTTTGTAGCACATGCTGTCAACCACTGGGGAGACTTAGTCATTGTTGAAGAGGACAGTGCTCAAGCAGCACTTCCTAAGGCTGAGCCTTCCCAGTGGACAGGAAGGGAAGCCCAGCAGGAGAAGATCCTGTGCTGTGTGCATGGGCCACAAGAGCAGGCTAGGCTTCGGCCCGGCACGCACTGAGTCCTTGAAGCACAAAATAGGCGGGTGACGGCAGGTCAGAATGCTAGGCCTCCTGCCCTGACAAGGAGTATGAGCTTTCATAAGAAGAGTGAGAGCTGGCAGGTCCAGGAAGAGAACGGCTGAGAGGCGGAGAAGCTGTGCACCTCCATGACACACACACCACACACACACACACACACACACCTGAGTGCTAAGTTATGTGTCCCATATGTCAAATACTACCCAACTGTGCCTTGAATTGCTTTCAAGAGTTTTCCAGAACTGCCATAACAAAATCCAACAATTATAATTATTTGGATTATCACACTTGCTTGTTCTGTTTTTGTTTTCATTGCCTGGTTTCATGTTTGTTTGTTTTGACAGGCCACTGTTGCTGGTTTGGAAGGACTGGGTGATATTGTGTCTGTTTCCTGCACAGAAAATGAAATATTTTTCCTAAAGGGAGATAGGAACGTTATAAGGATTTCAAGCAGGCCTGAAGGACTCGGATCCATAGGTTTGTATTCAGTACCAAGTGTGCTGTGTGTGCTGAGTCCTATGCTCTGAAAAGTGTCCTTCCCGCTTGTGGTAAGATAAATGCAGTTTAAGTCGGGCGGTGGTGGCCACACCTTTAATCCCAGCACGGGGAGGCAAAGGCAGGCGGATCTCTGTGAGTTCGAGGCCAGCCTTCGGCTACAGAGTGAGTTCCAGGACAGGCTCCAAAGCTACACAGAGAAACCCTGTCTCGAAAAGCCCCCCACCCCCAAAAAAAAAGATAAACATAGTTTAAACTAGCTGTGCACCTTTAATCTGAGCACTCAGGGAGGCTGAAGCAGGTGAGGCCAGCTTGCTCTACAGAGAGCTCCAGGACAGCCTGGGCTCCACAGAGAAACTCTGTATTGAAAACCAAAGCCAAAAACCAAATAACAACAAAAAAAATTTAAAAAAGAATAAAAGATAGTTTGGGGTTTGCTTAAACATGGAGATATTTGTAGGTTTAAGATTCTGAAAACACTCAGGATGCTTGTCACGGAAGTGACCTGCTCTAAGGTATACATTGGACAGTCTCACAGTGGTGGAGATGCTCTAAATGTGAGGGTGGGTGGTTGAGTGAGTAGGAAGGAGAAATCAGAAACCACTTGCCTGGCCCTAGGTGCCCTGTCGGAGACACTGTGTGTAGTTAATATCTCTGAGACACAGATTTGTGTAATTTTAAAACCATGAAACTCGCAATCTGGTATATACCTATTGCCCTAGACACAGACTGTCCTTTGGGGTTGATATTTTTCCCTGTGCTTTGGTTTTTAATTTTATAGTTCATGCAGACCCTAATGTTTTTTGTTTGTTTTGATTTGTTTTTAGTTTTTTAGGCAGGATCTTATAATATAGCCCAGGTTGGCCCTAAAGTTTCATTTCTTCTGCCTTAGGCTCCAGAGTGCTAGGATTACAGGTATTTGCCAGGAGACCTTGTTTTGTTTTGCAGTGCTGGGATTCAGCCCCCAGGCCTCGCACATACAAAACGCCTAACTCTGTAACTACTCTTACTGAGCAAAGAATCCTAACAGTGTTTTCATTCAACTTAGTGCAACTGGGACTCCATGCTAAACCTGCTTTTGGTGGTGACAGCATCATGCCAGCCGCTCTTTATTGTTGTCACTTATCTTTTCAAGCAGTAGAGGACAACTTGGAATTGATGTTATAAAACCAGAATTCTCCCCCTCCTCCAGCTGAGGACCGAACCCAGGGCCTTGCACTTGCTGTGTGAGCGCTCTACCATGAGCTAAATCCCCAGCCCCAAACCAGAATTCTTATAAGAAGTGCATAAGATTTATGACCTGAAGACCCCTAAAACAGGATAAGCAAGTTACAGTGTGGCTAACAGAAAAGAACAATGCCTCAGCCACTGCTCTCCGGGAGCAGTTTATCTGCAGGGATAACTGTTTCAAATGTGCACTGTCTGGCAGGGAGTTCACCAGCTGTCTGTGGTTAGAGTGCAGCTAATAATTTGAAGTTTAAATTTTGTTTAATTTTAATCACTTGAATTTCAGTAGCTACATGTTGATAGTGGTTCCACATAACACAGTACAGCTCTAAACCTGGCACTCCCATTAATTTGTGTGATCTTTGGCAAGTCACTTCCAAGCAGAGGTCAGCCCCTCTCCTGCCCTAGCGAACAGCCTTTAGGGGAATGTTTGTGCCCCGAGGATAAGAGCTCATGAGTCTTGTTGACTGCCGTTACATGGCACCTTGTGCAGAACATGGCACGCAGTAGATACTTGGTAAGGAGAGGTGACTGCACTGGTGGAAGAGCACTCAGTTTCGTGTGGAGGGCGTCAGCATCGGAGGCCCCAGCCCTGGACACTGACCTCAGTAATGGGCTATGCTGAAGGAGGGCAGGGTCCACTGCAGTGGGATGCTTACTGGCTCTTTATCACTGGACCCATGGCCTTCACCCTGCTCTCTGCTTGCATTGACACTGCCCACCTCTGTCCTCCTTTGCTATGAACCCATTCTATGGGAAATTCACTTTTCTTCCTTGAATTTGATTATAAGACACATGCATTTTTTTTTTTGAGGGGGTGGTGTTTGAGACAAGATTTCTCTGTGTAATTTTGGTGCCTGTCCTGGATCTCGCTCTGTAGACCAGGGTGGCCTTAAACTCATAGAAATCCTCCTGGCTCTGCCTCCTGAGTGCTGAGATTAAAGGCATGTGCCACCACTGCGGCCTGACACAGGCATTTTTTAATGCCTCTTGGGTAATATTAAGGTATAGTGAAGGTATAATATAAAAAAGGAATTTATCTTAACTGTTCTTGATACAGAAAAATTTATAAAGAATTGAAATGAGAAATGCTTTATATTTAGTGATGTTCTGTTACTGGTGGTTTTTACAAAAGACAACTGCAGGGAACTATTTTACTGATTTTAATATATGAGCTTCCTGGAGCACAAAGGCCCCTTGCCGTCTTCTGTGTGGTCCTTTGAGTTTCTCTGGGTCTGGGGAATTTGGAGTTGCTCAGTTTTTATCAGGAGAGAGTCTTGGTTGTCCTGTGCCTGCTGGTGCTCAAGCTAGCAAACTGAGTGATGCACAGAGAAAGAACCAGTAGTAAAACTAAACTCTTCTTTCTCAGTGAGGGATGGTCTGGAGACGAGATGTGCAGAGCAGGTCCGTGGGCAGCATTTGGAGAAGTCACTGGGGGCCACTGTTGGTGAGACAAGACTTGGAGGCTCTTCTGTGGCCAGCTCTGTGGCCAGTGAGCAACGGAGCAGGAGCAGCTCACTCAACTCGACGGACAGTGGTTCTGGGCTGCTGCTGCCCGGACTCCAGGCTGCCCCTGAGCTGGACCAGGGTGGCCAGCCATCCTCACAGAGGTTCAGTATCATCAGTTCCGAAGACTTTGACCAGGAGCTCATTGTGAAACCCATCAAAGTGAAGAGGAGGAGGAAGAGAAAGACAGGTACTGTCCGTGGGCAGGTGCACACTGACTCATGTGGCACCTAGGACCAACCCTGTAGGGATGTGCACATCTACCAGGAAGGCATGATGGTCTCACAAAAGGGGTACTTGCTACTCTTAGCTGAACAAAGAACTTCACACACTGAAAGCACTCCTCCCCACAAAAGTTACAGTACACACGTGCACACATAAGCATCTCGGTAGGACATGTGTTGGTAGGGCATTTACCCATGTGGTCAGGCCCTGACTAAAGGCTCTGGATTTTGCTCTTTTTAATATTTAAGATAATATTTAATATAAGATATTGACTTGTACACTGTCTTAGGGTTTCTCTTGCTATGAAGAAACACCATGACCATGGCAACTCTTATAAAGAAAACATTTAATTGTGGCACCTTGCTTACAGCTTCAGAGGTTCAGTCCATTATCATCATGGTCTGCAGGCAGATGTAGTACTGGAACTGAGAGTCCTACATCTTACAGACAACAGGAAGTCAACTGAGACACTGGGCAGTATCCTGAGCATAGGAAACCTCAAAGCCCGCCCCCACAGTGACAGACTTCCTCCAACAAAGCCATACCTCCTAATAGTGCCACTCCCTATGAGATTATGGAGGCCAGTTACATTCAAACTGCCACATCCACATATACCCTTCATTAGACCAGAGATCCTGCAAGCGTGGGACAGTCATTGAAACAGGGATTTATGCTGGTGTATTTGTTAGACATCATACATTTTGTGTTAACATGTTACCAAATATGGGATTTAACATAGAACTTTTTTTTTAAAGGTGAATCTCTATATGTAGTCCTGGCTGTCCCAGAATTTACTGTGTAGACCAGGCTAGCCTTGAGCTCACAGAGATCTTGCTGCCTCTGGCTCCCACGTGCTGGGATCAAAGATGTGCACTACCATAGCCAGCCACATAGAACTTTTTGAGCTATTCACTCCTTGGTGCCTATTGACCCTTCTAGCTAAAGGTTGCTATATTATTAAAGGAAAATATTATTGAACTCTTAGGCATCTTGACAGTTTAAAAAGATTGGCCTATGATCCATGGTGATTAATTCCTATTCCACTTTCTTAGCTTTCTTTAATGAGGCTTCTGGGCATTTCTACCTTTTTTTTTTTTTTTTTTTTTTTTGAGACAGGTTTTCTCTTTGTAGTCTTCTCTGTCCTGGAACTCACCCTATAGACCAAGCTGTCCTCAAACTCAGAGATCTGCCTCTGCCTCCCGAGTACTGGGATTACTGCCCGACTCCCTCTTCTTTTTATGGGGGTGTGAGGACAGAATCTTGGTAAATAGCTGAGGCTAGCCTGGAACTTACTACGTAGCTCAGACTGGCCTCAAACTCTTGAGCTTCTAGTCTCTACCTCACATGTTCTGGGGCTATAGAAATTAATTTATACCCTACTAAATATCCTTCATTTAAAATACTTTCTTCTTGAGCCAAATGTTTTTTAGTCTTCTGGTTATTTATGTAGAGTCGTGCCTTATTTTGAATGTTCTCCTTTTAAATTAGAAGGCGGAACCAAGAGCACCTGCCACAGTTCCCTCGAGTCGACTCCCTGCTCGGAGTTCCCTGGTGACAGCCCCCAGTCCTTGAACACAGACCTCCTGTCCATGACGTCAAGTGCTCTGGGCAGTAGTGTGGATCAGCTGAGCACAGGGTCTCCAGACCAGGAGAGCAACCCCAGTGCCGAGGTGAATGGGATCCTGCAGGAAGACAATGGCTCTGAAACCTTCAGTGTCCTGGGGGTTCCTGAGTCTGCCCTTGACCCAGTGGATGAAGAAAATGGCACTAGAAAGGAACCTTCCCAGTGTGACCCCACACCAGACATGGACCTGCTCAATGGGGTGTTGGATTTACCCTTGCGGCCAGGGGAGAAGGTGGGAGGTAGTGACATCATCTCAGGACTTGAAGAGGAGCCTGCTCCTGCTGATGGTGCAGCAGGGCATGCACAGCTGTGCCTGAGAAAACAGGAGAGCTCTGCTGAGGCGCGGGAAGTGAACACCGTGGAGTGCAGTGACCCCCAGAGCACTTTTTCCGAAGCCCCTCTTCTGGACTCACTTATGGTACCTTCCAGCCTCAGCTGGCCCCCAGGTGCTGAGCAGTGGCTGCCTGAGATGGGAGTTTATGAAGTCCACACTGAAAAGACCAGCCCAGAGCCGGATTTCCTGACCCACGTGGAGGTCCCTAGCTACCCGGGCTCCAACCCCTGGCATGTAGTCACCGATAGTGACACAGGTCAGAAAGAAATGCCCACTTCTGAATGTGCCATAGGAAATGTGGAAGGACAGGTAACTCCTCTTACCTCTGCCTTGGTGGCCAGCACCCATGAGCATTGGCTGGACCAACCTTTCCAGGATCAGGCAGTGACATCCAGTGATGAGGAAGACATTTATGCCCATGGGCTCCCATCTTCATCCTCAGAGACGAGTGTGGCAGAGCTTGGAGCTGATCGCTCTCTGCAGGACCTGAGCCAGCCAGGGAATGATGACACCACACTGCTCAAGACAGATCAGGTCTGTGTGCTGATGGAGGAAGTGTGACTGAGATGGTAGCTGCGGCAGCTGCTGCTTTTCCTTTAAGGGGCATCCTTGGCTCCTTTATTTCCCTTCTTATGGAAATCATACTCCTGAAATATCTGTAGCTTTGAAGTCTGGCTTTAGGGCAATTTCCTATGCAGGGACCCTTAATAATTGGAACTGTAGTACTTCTCACCCTGCTCAGTTGACCTCTTACCAACAAAGTGGTATCTTGCAATGCCAGACCAGTTTGTGCACTTCAGGTAGCCTGGGGCCATTGGAACACCACTGGGAGAGGACTGTTTGCTCTGAGCACATATGAGGTGGGTGGTTCCTGCCCCTTTCCACAGTCCACTGACTCCTAGGAACATCAGTATGAATTGGGGTCTTTCCGGAAATGCGGTTTCCTCAGCGTCCACACAGTATCCCCAGGACACACTTTGGAGAATGAAACCTCTAATCTGCTATGGGGCTTCTCAGTCAGTGTAATTTATTGTTCTCTTAGAACCTTTATATTAAAAATGGTTTTTTAAAAACAGGGTCTCTATTATAGCCCTGGCTGTCTTGGAACTCACTATATAGACCAAGCTGGCCTTGAACGCAGAGATCCACCTGCCTCTGCCTCCTGAGCGCTTGGGTTAGTCTTGTGCCACCATGTCCAGTCCTAAAAATGATTTTTAAGTACTTTTTTTTAAACAAGTAAGTCTTAGCAAATATATTTGGCTTCAGAACTAACCCTGCATCACCATATTCCCTAGTAATTGATATGAGACCACCACTGCATCTTCAGAGCTAAGAGCATGTGATGTTTATCAGTTCTCACCATGGACAGGTATGTGCTGAGCACGTCACACGTTTAAGTCACTTCTTAGGAAGAAAACAAACTAGGACACAGGTGCAGTTGTCCCCATTTCGTGGAGGAGGAAATCGAAGCTAACGAAAGTGAAGTGGTGTGTGCACCAGGTCACATTGTAAGTGAAGTGCAGAGTGGCCCAGGGTTCTCTCCCGTTTTGTGTTGTGTCTCAGAAGTGAATTTGCCAGAAGTTGACTGCTTGTTCATCAGCCTACATTCAGGTTTTCAGTGCACTGCTTCCTAAGCGCTCTTAACGGGCAGTGCATGTGTTCATGCTGGGGAGCTCCGTGCAAGTGACAGCCAGAATATCAGTTGAATGGGACTTGGGTAGGGTGTGAGAAGCCACAGCAGGGTGACCGCCTGACATAGAGTATTAGCGGGCAGATCGTAACTGTTGGTGTATGTTAGGGCTAGTTGGAAGCTTAGGAAAGCCCTTACCTGTGGAGAAGGATCCTGGATCTCTGAAGTCACCTACCAAGCTTTGCCATGCCTGGTCTTGCTCCAGATAGCAGAAAAGGTTAGAAGTGGTGGTGGTTGTTTTGTTTTGGAGGACAAGGGCTAGGAGAAAAAAGTTTGCTGTGGTGAGCAGAGCCAGGTGGAGAAGAGGTGGACACCATTCTCTTTCATACACTAGCTTCCATATCAGGTATCTGTGCAACTGTGCATAGTAAAGTATATGCCCTTTATTTAGCTTTGACTTTGAAACAAATCTTAGCAACATGGGACCAACATGACAGGTCAGTGGGTAAAGACTAATGCCTGATGACCCGAGCTCCATGTCTAGGACCCAAGTGATGGAAGGAGAGAACCAACTCTCACACGTTATCTTCTGACTGCCACACATGTGCTATAGCACACTCATGTGTGCACACATATAATTACATTAAATAAATGTAATACAAATGAGAAAATACAGCAATGAAGCCTTAGGGTACAAAAGTCAGACAGTGTCTTATCCAACACTTCCCCTAGCTGTTCCCATACAACACGCCAGGTGTCACCAAAGGTTAGAACAGTGTTTGGAAAACTAATGCAGACAGTGGTAGTGCCGTTCCCATAGTGCACCTGTCATAAGTAAGTATACAGAAAGTTGATTTTCATACACGTGGTGATGAACACACCTCCTTGTGTAAAGTAAGGTATGCATAGAATAAAGCCAGATCTCTTGTGATGTGATGTCATGCTCTACCAGCATGCACAGCCTGTATCCTATGTGGAACATGCACACCAGGATGGCTATAAGCACAGCCCAATGTAAAATCATAAACTTACTTAAAATGTTAGGTTTTCTTTTGCATTTTTTTTTTAAGGGGGACAGGGTAACTCAATTGTATGGTTCCTGAGTGTGGACTTACTAGATGACAGTGTCTTCTTGTTCTGCCAGGTGGTTGGATACACCTTCAAGCATTACTTAGGAAGAGTGCTATGCTATGAGAAAGTGTTGTCCAGGGATGTTGTGGGGTCTTCCATGAGGACCACAGCTCCTGCTCCAGAATGTTTCTGAGACTAGATTCAAGGAGAGCAAGGATAGATTCAGGGATAGGCAAGGCTTCTCAAAAATCCCTTCACTTTAATCGTCTGTCCATTTCTCGTGCTGTAACAGTATGGTGACGCTGTGTCTCTTGCCGCAGACTCACTGGCCTCTGTCCTTATTAGTTTGCAGAGAGCTGGATGGGCTACTCGGGTCCTGGCTACGGCATCCTCAGCTTGGCGGTCTCGGAAAAGTTTATCTGGTGCCTGGACTACAAAGGCGGCCTGTTCTGCAGTGCCCTGCCCGGTGCAGGGCTGCGCTGGCAGAGGTTTGAAGATGCTGTCCAGCAGGTGGCAGTCTCTCCCTCAGGTTCGCCTCCCAGCTCCCATTTCCCAACCCCCAACCCCAGCGCTGCTCCCAGCTCACGGGGCAGCTCTCCTCTGCAACAGCAGCATGCTGTCATCGGATTGACCTTCCTGCCAGCTTAGGCGGGTTCTGTAAAGATCTTGAATGCTTCCTTTGGCACCAATTAGGGTAATGAGTGTTCAGCATACTTGCTTGAATTTTTGGTTTTTCATTTTATTAATTAAAGTGATAACATGTGAACACATTTTTGTAAGCTATACAAATAATTTGAATTTTGACAGGTTTTTTTTAGTCATGTTGGCACACTAAATTCTCATAAAAATAACATGTATTTCTGTTTGTCAGTGTTGCGATAAAGCAGTCGAACTAGTGAAGACAGGCCTGTGGATGTATGGTGGATGTGTTCCAGTCATCTCATTTCTTCTTCTGATATTTTTTCCCTGGCTGTAATAGGAAAGGCCCTCAGATTTTCATGGCATTCTTTATCTTTTTAGTGAAACCAAGGAGACTTTTTAGAATATAGTTCTGCTAGGCTGAGATAATTCTCTTATCTACCTAGGCTTATTTACATTTTTGTTAGTGGGCTTTTTGTTTGTTTGTTTTGTTTTGTTTTAGATGTGACCTTGCTATATAGCACAGACTGGCCTTGAATTCACTGTGGAGTCCTAGCTGGCCTCGAACTTTGGGTCCTCCTGCCTCAGCCTCCCGAGAGCTGGGGTTAGAGGCGTGACCCCCACTATGTTTCTTCCTAGTGCTGGGTACATGTTTCTCTGTTCTGAAGCAGTGGGCATCATGGCAGAGAAGCAAAAGAAAGGAAGTTCTCGTTAAAATGTTAGTTTATTCAGGGTTGTTTGCTCACTTTCTTTCACTGCTTGCTTGAAAATTATTTCCCCTGGAGGCTGGCTGAGATAATAGCCCGCTCCATTAGCTGGGATTGTGTAATTGTATGTCTTTTTTCCCCCTGTATCTGTCACATACTTTTGGATTCATCCTCTTAGCCATTTAGAAACGTTGGTTCTCTGCTGATTGTATTTATTACTTTTTATTTTCCCAACCATTCCTCAGTTGCTCTGATTGGAGCAGTCTGTCTCTGTAAGATCATTATTTACAGCTAAAATGGCTAGCCTGTGCCACGTGGTGTTACGGGGGGAGGGAGGGAGGGGGCGCTACATGCATGGGCCCTCTGTAGATCTTGTTTAGCTCAGTTCATGCGCATTCATTCCCCCGTGGTTCTTCACCTCACCCAATGCCACAGCCTCCATAGATAGTGCCATTGGCCTGCCTTCCACCTTCCCTTGGTTCTTTTATCTGTTCTTCAGAATTCTTTTAATTCTGCCACCCAACTCAGGAGGCCCTTGCCTTTGAGTCCCCAAGGTTGGTATTTGGGCACTAATTGTGCTCCACTTAGCTAATCAAACCTACAGAACTGTCACTTCTCCCCACCATGAGTGGCCGCCTCTGTGGTGAATCTCTTCTCACATCTAATTTTTAGGTCAATCCCAGAAGGTAGGAATGAGCCCATTTTCAGTTGAGGAAAGTGAGGCTTGAACACATTCACATTGATGTCCAACAACAGACAGCTGGTGGGTTCAAACTCCAGCATGGTGAGCTCGTCCCTGAGTTGAAAACAACAAGATGCATTTTAGAAAGCCGTCCCTCGCAATGCCCAGATGGAGTTTTTGGGTAGATGACTCTCGTGTTTGTTGAGCAGTGAGTAGAATTTTTTTCTCCTAGGGGCTCTTCTCTGGAAGATTGAGCAGAAATCTAACCGTGCTTTTGCTTGTGGCAAAGTTACCATCAAGGGGAAGCGGCACTGGTATGAGGCTCTGCCCCAGGCTGTGTTTGTGGCCCTGAGTGATGACACAGCCTGGATCATCAGGACCAACGGAGATCTGTACCTTCAGACAGGTAGTCGAAGGCCATGTACATTGTCCTTGTCATTTGCTGAATCTGCTGCTAGTCACATTCTGAGAGCAGTCACAGGATGCAGAGACCGAAAACCAAGTTAAGTGAAAACATTTCTAGAAGCCCAGTGTTCGCCATGGAAGAGCAGCTCCCCCAGCCGAGCATGGGTTGGGTCTGGACAAGAGTGCATAGATGATAAGTGCAATGCAGAGTGCCATGCAGGAGCCGACCTGCGCGTCTGCAGCTACTGACGCCTTTTGCCTAGCCTGCAGTATCCACTCCTAAGAGGGAAGAGTAATTGGCAGGACTCGACATCAGCTCCCTTTTCCCAGCTAGGTCAGAGCCCAGCACCTGTCCGTGTAGTTACATGTGGGTTCCGGGGAAAGACAACGAGAAGTAATTGGCTGTAAATAGCAGATTGACTTGTCCTAGGAAACTGCCTTTAGGGAAACCTTTAGCTGCTAGAACGGGCACAGTGGGACTTGTTTATTAAAAATAAACTATAATGAATCAGTGTTTGTGTGCTGTCAGCACAGGGGAAATGGCCTGGCGGGCAGGGCTTGTGTTTGGGCTGTCAGGAGGCCATATTGGATTTGCATGAAGATTGATCTAGTCATTTAATAATACTGATTCTGAGAGCATGGTTTCATCTTTGGAATGAACCGTCAGCCAGGAATGCTTCTCCACATTGAGAGCTCGTTTCTCATCAGGCTGTCGAGGTGTGGAGGAGCCTCACACTGGTGGGCAGCCCTGCCGCCTTCATGGGCGTGCGGGCCTTCAGTTTAGTTAGTTCTTGTGTCCGTGAGTGGAAATAGGCTGCTCTGATAAGCACGTGCACATGCACATGCACATCCAGCTTCCAGGGCATTTGATTTTGGCCCTGGCAGGAAAAGGGATACTTTAAACCTACAGGTAAGGAGCAGGTGACCTCCTAACCGTGATGCCAGAGCAGTTTTTGGGTTACCCTGACCCTCCCCAGACCTGCTGGCTTAGTGGGCTTGGCAAGGGTTTGCAGAAAGAAGTCTTGCAGGCGAGTCTGGGCAGTTGTCTGTGTTGTGGCTGTCTTTGTGACTGGGCTGCCAGGGCCTCGTTGAGGCCGAGGCGATGGAATGTGGGGTTTAGATGTTAGCTCTCCTGCCTGCTCCCTCAGTAGTTGTCTTTGGCCTCATTTAGGTGCACGACACACGTTCCTGACAGGCCTCAAAGAGGTGAAGGAGCCACCTAGAGCCCTGACTGTCACAAGCATGGCAGGGTGACAGGTCTCAGGTTTCACCTGGGAAGTGGGGGTTTGCACTTTAGCGGGGGTAGCCCCCCACTGTCAGCAGAGGACAGGGGAACAGAGCTGCTTGAGCTGCTGGGTGTGCAGCTGTGGACCCCTTGTCTTCCGAGGCCCTGAGGAACACAGCCTCGTTGGCAGAAGGGAAGTCCTCTGTGTCCTCTGTGCTCTTATCTAGGTTGGCCGCTGTCCTGCCCTGGACTGCCCTGTCTTGAGAACTTCTTAAGCTGGTTTGGAACACCAGGAAATTCTGAACTGTATTTTTTGTTGTTATTGATAAAAATCTCAAGAAGAAAAGCTATCTAATATGGAAGCCCATAGATAGCAAAAGGAGCAAAGAAAGAAAATCACAGATCAGGATAGGGTATGACATGCTGCTGATGAGTCTGAATCTTCCCCTCTCGCTACAGGTCTCAGTGTGGATCGGCCCTGTGCCCGAGCTATGAAGGTCGACTGTCCTTACCCACTGTCCCAGATCACTGCCCGGAACAGTGTGGTTTGGGCCCTGACAGAGCAGAGGGCCCTCCTGTACCGGGAGGGCGTGAGCAGCTTCTGTCCTGAAGGGGAACAGTGGAAGTGTGATATTGTCAGGTATGGGCCCCAGCAGTGTCCTGTCTATCTCTGACCAGGCATCTAGGTGAGCCTTTTTTGGCAAAGACAACACCTACAGGTTCTGTGGTGATGTCAGCCTCGACAGACTGGCCTTGGGAATACTCCATGCTCTCCTGCGGGCAGGTTGCAGGACAGTGGGTCACGTTACAACATGTGTTGGGGTTTGGGTATAGAACTCAGTTGGTACAGTATTTGCCTAGCATGCACAAGGCTCTGAGTGCTGTCCTCAGTACTACATAAACTGGACTGAGTGGCACGTACCTGTAGTCTCATCACTTAGGAGATAGAGGCAAGAAAACCAGAGTTCAGGGTCATCTTCAGCCCTGTATATACATCTCAAAAAATAATAATAATGAAAAAACAATGAGTGTGTCCCTGAGCATCAGAGTCACCAGTTCTCATGGTCTCCATTCAGAGCTACCTGCTGTCACATGCTTCTATTGAGAATCTGTGATGGTGTAGCTACACATGTTTATTTGTATTTTTATCCTAGTCAGTTGAAATTAGTTCTGGACTATAATTTATTTTACTTTCTACCATTTAAGATTTGGGCTGGAGGCCGGGCGGTGGTGGCACACGCCTTTAATCCTAGCACTGGGAAGCTGAGCCAAGCGGATCTCTGAGTTCAAGGCCAGCCTGGTCTACAGAGCGAGATCCAGGACAGGCACCAAAACTACACAGAGAAAACCTGTCTGGGGGAGAGGGGCGGGCGGAAGATTTGAAATGGGTGGTGGTGGTCTACACCTTTAATCCTAGCACTTGGGAGGCAGAGGCTGGCAGATCTCTGGGTTCCGGGCCAGCTTGGTCTGCAGAGTGAGTTCCAGGACAGCCAGAGCTACGCAGAGAAACCCTGCCTGGAAAAACAAAAAAACAAACCAAACTAAACAAAAATTGGTCTTTATGTATGCCAGATCAGGATGGTGTTGGTTGGGTTCAGCTAGCCAGTAAATCTATATAGAACCCCTGCTGGGAACCATAGGACTCTCTGGGGCCTGGGTGTTCCAAGATAGCCAAGACGTAACCCTTCCAGCTTAGTGGGGAGCCATGCAGCAGCCAGTTTGGTGCCAGTTGGTGTGAGGATACTGAGCAAGGAGAGCACATAGCAGTGAGGAGCTGTTGCCTGCCCACAGTGCGTGGGTGGGCAGCATGCCAGGGCTAGCCTCAGCTGAGTCTCAAAGCTGTCAAGGATGTCCCCAGATGGAAGAAGCGAAGGTTGACTCACCAGAGAAGATAGTGTCTGCCCAGAGTCAGCTGTGCACCACAGCCTGGCGTGCGGGGAAAGAGGGAAGGGGGGGTGGAAGTGCTCTTGGCCCAGGTGCCTGCTCACGTTTGTTTTTCTAGATTTCCCCACCAGCTGGGCCTTCAGTATGTCTTTGCAAAGCAGCCACATGTCTGGACAGTAGCATTGCAGTAGTGTAACTTAGACTCTGGGCACCTTCCTTGTTACTCAGTAGTCCACTCCTGTGAACAGAGCCCATGCTTCTCTCACTCGCAGTGAAAGGCAGACTCTGGAGCCTGTCTGCATAACTCTCGGAGATCAGCACACGCTCTGGGCCCTGGACATTCATGGGAAGCTGTGGTTCAGAACTGGCGTGATTCCCAAGAAGCCCCAAGGAGATGATGACCATTGGTGGCAGGTAGGTGAGGGGGCTTCCTGGCTTGGAGACCCCCCTCCTGCCTTCTCTCTTTCCTTAAGAAACTGTATTGAACTAGTAGCATTGCTTTTAACATTTGGTAGATTAGACTTTCCTGTGGCTGAGTATACTAAAAACACACAGAAAAAACTTTCCTTCATAGAAAATAACTTGTAAAGTGTATTTTGTTTAATACGGGCTGGAATTTGTTTATTTATTTAAATGTTATTTAGGCATTCATCATTATAGACTAAATAAATGCAGTGACATCCATTTAAAGAAAGACCTGGATAATAATGATGTTTAATTCTGAACAAGCGTGCTAAGAAAAGAGACTAAAGAGTAGGTTTGAAAACCCAACCCACAGTTAAAACTCATCTATCTCTACTTGCTTGAGAGACCTTTAAGTAAATGATCCTTCAACAAAGAACTGAGCATTATCCTCATGCTCCCAGAGGGGAGAGTACCGGAGAAGTAAGGGGTGGAATCCAGCCAACTTGCCATGGTTCCAGCCCAACCTTGCGTGGGTTTTGCAAAGAACATCCACTTTCCCCTCTTGGTAGCACTCAGGTCTAAGCTCCTTACCCCCACATTGAGCCTCAGGTTGCTCTGACAGATGTGCGGTTTGATGCCTCACCTCTATGTCTATAATTTGATATTCTAGGTAATATTTGAGAAGATTATATATGATTTAAAAATACCTACCATATACTTAAATCCATATATGAACACGCACATGCATACAGCACATAGACCTATGTACATATCTGTATATGCTAAATTCCAGAGGGGATTTTTACATGTGTATGTGTATACTGTGCATACATGGGTATATGCATATGTGGGGCATGGGTGTATATGTGCATGTGTGTGTGTATGCGTATAGCAGCCAGCGTTGATGTTGAGGCTCCTACTTGACTGCTATCCACTTTATCTACTGAGGTAGGGCCTCTTGCTGAACCTGAAACTCACTGACTTGGCTAGTCTAGCTAGCCAGCTTGAACCAGGGACCTGGTCTCTGCTTTTCAAGCACTGAGGTTACAGGCAGGCCACTCCGCCTGCCAGTGCTTCACACGGGTGCTGGGATCCAGACTCCAGTCCTCACACTCCAGTCCTCACACGAGCTCAGCACTTTATCCACTGAACCTGTATTCGGTTGGCTCTGCATGTTTAGGTGCGGTGGCCAAACCCAGGCCATGCTCTTGGCAGAGCTGCATGGTTTGTGCTGCATCCCCTCTGCCCCTAAAATCCATTTTTACGTAACACAAAGAAAACTCTCTTTTTTCATAACACACAGAACTTTAGCTGACAGAATTGTCAAGAGGCATAGAAGCAGAGTGAAGTAGTCCTGTGCTTTCTTTGGCTCTGATGTTTGGCTGCTAGGCCTTTTCCTTCTCTTTAGTTGAAGACCTGCTTATGTATGTGTCTGTCTGTCTCGGGTATCACAGACTTGGTGTGTGGCTTTGGCATCGTCACTGCCAGGTCTCCAGTGAGCAACACTGGCCCTGCGTTGCATAGCAAATACACTTTGAGTCTGTGAGTGGAGCTCATTCTTCAGCACGTCATGAAGCCAGGCTGGACCGAGCTCAGAATGCCCTACGGTGGGGGCTATGTATGCCAGCTTCGGTGAGGACAGTGCTCACAACTGTCCCCTTTTCACAGACAGAAGGGCAGCATTTATGTGTGATATACTAACTTCTAGTGATTTCTTTATGTTTGTTTTGTTTTTTATAAATTTAAGCTCCCTGTAATACTTAATATTGCATTGTGTGAACTGGGAATGTGTCCTAGGAATTGGGTGTTTGTGCCAAGGTCTGTAATAAATAAATCCAACAGGCAAAAATACTAGAGAGAAGATGTCGAGCTTGCCCAGCCTATCAAAATGCCTGTTAAGCCTGATAACCTAGTTCAGTCCCTAGGACCCACAAGGTAGAAGGAGAGAAGTGACTCTAAAAGCTGGCCTTCTACATGTATGCTCTCTCTTGCATGCCCACACACATACATAAAACACACATAAATAGAAATAAATGGAATGCAGTTATAAAATACTGCATAGGGTTCTACTGAGCCAGGTTCCCACCTGCTTCATAAACAGCTCTGGCACAGGGCCGGAGAGAAGGCTCAGAGTTCGGAGCATTGACTGCTCATGCAGAGGACCCAGGTTCAGTTCCCAGTACCCACATGGCCTCTCACAAACATCTGTAACTCCAGGTCCAGAGGTTCTTGTGCCCTCTTCTGTTCTCTGTGGGTACCACACTAGTGTACACACATACATGCAGGCAAGACACTCAGACACATAAAATATAAGTAGTAATTTAAAAAAATTTAAAAAGAACTCTGTCACAATTGACTGCCAGCAAGGCTGAAGTTTCCTTCAGGGAGATAGTTGTCCCAAAATGTCTCTAGAGATATGTCTCTAGAGATGTCTGTGACAGATGCTTTTCAGGAACGTTGCCGAGGGTCATACATCAGTGCCAGATAGCTTCTTGGGATCATCTTGCTTAAGCTGATTGTCTGATAAAATTGGTAATATTCACAATTACAGCTTAAGTAATTGCATCACGCAACTGATATTTTTAATGCTCATATTATGATGATAAGTATTATACATTATTGTCTATTGGATGCACCTGAATTTTATTTAATTAATTAATTAATTTATTTATTTATTGGTTTTTCAAGACAGGGTTTATCTGTGTAGTTTTGGTGCCTGTCCAGAATCTCGCTCTGTAGACCAGGCTGGCCTCAAACTCACAAGCACCTGAATTTTAAAGTGAAATTATTCTTTATCATTCTGACTAGGATAAAAGTACATAAACAGACCCATGTGTAATGAAAAAGTAAGGTAAGGTGACCACACTTTCTTCCTTCCCTTAAGCCCAGCCTGTGGATTTAATGACAGCTGCATAGTAACTCCAGTCCTTGTGCAGAGAGGTGTGTGCAGGTACTTGGCACTTGATGGCCTTGCTGCTGGGTACTTGGATGTGGGTGTTCAGAGTTGCCTCTGCAAGCAGGTGGTCTTAGAGCCTGCACTGACAGCAAGGCTCAGCTGTGTCCTTCCTGCAGGTGAGCATCACGGACTATGTGGTGTTCGACCAGTGCAGCTTGTTCCAGACCATCATGCATGCCACGCACTCAGTAGCGACAGCAGCCCAAGCCCCTGTGGAAAAGGTAGCAGATAAACTGCGCATGGCATTCTGGTCTCAACAGCTTCAGTGCCAGCCCAGTCTACTAGGGGTTAACAACAGTGGCGTCTGGATCTCCTCAGGCAAGAATGAATTCCATGTTGCCAAAGGAAGTCTCGTAGGTGAGTCCATTACTCTTGTTTTGACTTTATTTATTCATTAGTTTTTTCCGAGGCAGGCTTTCTCTGTGTAACATCCCTGGCTGTCCTGGAACTCACTCTGCAGCCAAGCTGACCTTGAACTCACAGAGATCCTCCTGGGATTAAAGGTGTGTACCACCACGCCCAGCTCTCTGAGTATTTAGTGAAAGATTTTAAGGTAATAGATGGAAAGAACTGCCTGTGATGGAAACACTCCAGGCTTTGTGTTTTCTTTTTCATTCTGTCGTTCCTCAAACTTGGTGTCTGACAGTGTGAAATCCCTTTCCTGGGGGAACCGAGCACACTATAATAAAAAGCAATGGAGGGATAGACAGACGGCTCAGTGGTTAAGAGCACTGGCAGCTCTTGCAGAGGAACCCGGCCTGGCTCTGTTCCCAGCACTGTGGCAGCTCACAGATGTCTGTAACTCTGATTCAAGGGCTCCAGGTGGCCTCTGGTGTGGGGACCAGACACTCAAGTGGTACCCAGACATACGTGCAGGCAAGTAGAGCTCATTTTTTGTGGTTGTTTTTGTTTGAATCAGAGTCTCATATAGCCCAAGCTGCCAGAAATAGCCTTGAACCCCTAATCCTCTGTTTCTACCTTCCAAGGGCCAGGATTGCAGGCATCACACCTGGCTGCAGCTCAATTTTGTGCTTGGAATTGCAAAATCTACACAGGGGTGGGCAGTGAAATGGTTCTGCAGATAAAAGTACACACCATACAAACCTGTAGACCTGTGGTCAATCTCTAGAAATCATGTAAAATGCCAGATACGGCACATGCCCTTAATCCCAGCACTCAGGAGGCAGAGGCAGGCAGAGCTGTGTTCAAGGCCAGCCTGGTCTACAGAGTGAGTTCTAGGACAGCTAGAGCTATGTAGAGAAAATCCTGTCTCAGAAAAACAAAGAACAACAGCAGCAAAGCCAGATACAGTGGTGGCTCATGTCAGCACTCCTGTGAGGAAATGGGGCCAGGCAGGGACAGAGGCGACCAGGAGTTCACATACACAGCCCAGTGGCAGAAACAAGAGAGCCCCTGCCCCCAAAACAAGGTGAAAAGAGAAAACCAACTCTCCACACACATGCCATGATACACTTGTGGACACACCTGCACAGAATTTTTTTAAAAGGGGTATGTGGTTGGGTAGAGATGGCTTAACAGTTAAGAATATGAGGGCAGGGGTTCAAATCCCAGCACTCATGCAACAAGCCAGCTATCCCAAGAATGCCTGTAACCCAGCAACAAGGTGAACGGAGGTAGGAAAATCTTTGGGGCTTGCTGACTTCTAAGCGGCAGAGAGAACATGATCTCCAGGATCAGGGAGAGATCCTGTTTCAAAGTAATATGTGGATAATGATAGGTGAGAACACCCAGTGTCCTCTTCTGGACTTCATGAACATGCTTAGGCAACACCTCACACTATCATATGTATGTACACTCACACAGACACATATACAATAAGTAAACATTTTTAAGATTTATTTATTATGTATACAGTGTTCTGCCTGCATGTATGCCTGCAATGCCGTAAGAGAGGGCACCAGATCTCATTACAGATGGTTGAGAGCCACCATGTGGTTGCTGGGAATTGAACTCAGGACCTCTGGAAGAACAGCCAGTGCTCTTAACATCTGGGCCATCTCTCCAGCCCAAATATTTTTTAAAAGTCCACCAAACCTAGAGTCTATTGAGAGAGAATAGTTCATTTATGGTGGGGAAATTATGGCCACTGTTAAACATGCAAGATGCTGGCCGTGTCTGTGGATGAGGTGGGTGTTCATTCTGAATGACTCCCCCTTGATGAGTTTCCTCCAGCCCTGTCCCCTGTGTAGCCTCCTTGGGCTTCAGTGAACAAGGTATGGCTCCTCTTGTTGATGCTTAGAGAAATGAGTAGCTCATGTCGCTTTGTTTAAGGACACTAAAAATCATTGTAAGAGCTCTGAAGGCCCAGCTATAGTCTAGAACCAAAACTGAAGTGTTACGGTTTTTTCTTTCCCTTCCCTTAACCCACTTTTATATTTATTCTCTCTAGGAACTTACTGGAATAACGTTGTTCCCCGAGGAACAGCTTCAGCTACTAAATGGGCCTTCGTGTTGGCTTCTCCTGCCCCTACCCAGGATGGTGAGTCAGTCTTAGCCTGTCTGAGAAACCTGGTGGACGAGTCAGTCGGCAGCTGAGAAGTCCAGACTGTCATCTGACCGTGGCCCTGTGGCTGTGGAGATGTGGCCTCATAGACCTTCAGAGAAGGGATATGACACGTTCTGGGCCAGCAGCCCTGTGAGCTAAACTGAGGGCTTTTAGTGGAAAGGTGTGTTCAGGGGAGCCACTGAGGAGGAGCAAGGGTGGTAAGGCTGAGTCTGAGATGGTGTCCTTTGGAAGGAGGTCCCATGCAGTGCGGTCCTAGGAGCTGGCTGCAGATGACTCTCACTGTCAGCTTGCATGGCCATAACTTCCCGAGTTCCTTTTTCATTTCTTCTGGAGAATTCTGTCACCTCCAAGCAGCTTCCTTCTCCCATGCTTCTTGCTGCTGGCTCCCCTTTACCCTGTGAGGGTCTCATACCTCAGGCTTATCTTATCCCTGCAGAGGTGGGCCTCCTAGGCAGGCAGGTGGCCTGTTTGGGAAGGAGCCAGAACCTCTTCCAGGGCTTTTGTGGAAGGTGAGAAATGAGAAAGTGCCATGATACCTATGATGAAGAGGAAAGAGTTTGGTCCATTGAAGCCATCAGTTGCCCCAGCACTGAATAACCTGCTTCAGTATAGTAAACACTTACCCACTGGACTGGACTGATCACAGTCCTGCCTGGAGTCTCGTAAGATGGTAAGTTGTTTCCTGAGTCTGACCCAGCTGCTTTTGGTAGCAGCACCTGACCCTAGCTGGAGCCTGCAGCCTTCACTGATAGCATGCTGTGGCATGCTCATGCACTACTTCCCTGGGGAGCTCCTGGCACTTCTGGCTGACTCTTTGACTATTTTATCAAGACCTTTGTTTGTTTGTTTGTTTGTTTGTTGCTTTTCAAGACAGTCTCACTGTGTAGCTCTGGCTGTCCTGGAACTTGCTGTGTAGACCAGGCTGGTCTGAAACTCAGAACTCAGAGATCTACCTGCCACTGCCTCCCGAGTGCTGGGACTAACGGCCTGCATTGCCACTACCAGCCAAAGTTCTTAAATTTAAAAAATGGGGGTGGGGGTGGGGCTTGGAGAGACGGCTCCATGGTTAAGAGCACTGTATACTTTTCCAGAGGCATGGGTTTGAATCCCAGCGCCCTTATGGCAGCTCACAACTGTCTCAAATTCCAGTTCCAAGAGATACATGTAATACCCTCTGCCCTCCATGGCATAGGTACCAGGTACATGCATGATGCATATATACATGCAGATAAAACATTCATATACATAAAGTGAAAAGAAACAAATCTTAAAAAAAAAAAAAAAAAAAAAAAAACTCAAAGATTGCGAGTTGCGAAACATCTGGCCACAGTGTTAGATAATACTTTACATTACACAGTGTAGCCAGGTTTTCAGTCCCCAAGGATGATTGGCATTTCAAACAGACACTGTTAACCTGAAAGTTCTGAACAACAGAGCACTGCAAGCATAACTCTTAAGGCCAAGGTAGGAGAAGGATTTCTGCCTTATTGAAGAGCAGCCCACTGCACACCCCATTAGCAGAAGAACTAGGGAAGCCCCTTCCCAGGGACTGCTGGCCCCTCTCCTTCCTGGTTATTGGCAAGGTTGACAGCCCTAATACTCTGTATTAAAAATACACTCTGAGGATTCCTTCATTCATATTCCTAGGCCACTACCCCAGCCATCTCGCCTTTATAATGTTTCATAGGCCCTGCTTTCTTTCCAGTTCTTTAAAATGTCCCAGGCTTGATCTCGCTGACGTCTGGTGGTGGCATTCCTTCTAGCCTCACAGGTATAGCACACCTGCTGCAGCCTGTGAGGTCCTGGTGAGTGTCCAGGCAGTGTCACCAGGAGAGACAAAGGCTGTGCTGTGCACTTAGGGCGGTGGCTCCGTGACATAGAGTTTGGTGACAAGCGTGAACCTTTTCTGTAGGAAGCTCCTTGTGGCTGTGCCAGAGCAGCAAGGACCTGTGCAGCATCAGTGCCCAGAGTGTGCAGTGCCGCCCCTCCACGGTGCAGTTGCCCGCCGACGCCGAGATGAGGACCTACGCTGCCTGCCAGGATGCACTGTGGGCCTTGGACAACCTTGGGCAGGTGTTCATCAGGACGCTTTCTAAGAGCTGCCCCACAGGCATGCACTGGACGAAACTGGACCTTTCCCAGCTAGGTATGGCCAGTGTGTGAGTGCTTCCCTCAGTGTGGAAAGTGGGTTCTTCGGTGACGATTGTCAGTGGCTGGATTTATAGCTCAATGGCCACTTATCCAGGTTAAATGAGCCTCTTAAATTTGGAGAGAGTTCACCTCTCTCACTCCTTGCAGTTTGCACTGCTCAGAACTGCAGGAGCTGTGAGGTGTCCAGAAGGTGCCACTAAGATCTGCTTAAGATTATGGCACTAGGACAGCTGCCCTGTTCTCTCTATGATCTTTAAATCTGAGATGGCGTTTGTGTCCTGTGAGTGGATCAGTGCACACTGATCTCTGTCTTGGCATCTGGAAGAGTGCCCATCATGGGCTGCTGCACACACAGTTGTGTGGTGTGGGTTTTCTTTCAGCCGGTTAAAGATGTTCTGTGCTGTTAGTAGCCACTGAACTGCCCCAAGAATTATTGTAGGCCTAGCCTGTGGTGACATGTGGAAATACGTCATAGTCTAAGAGATGGCAAAATGAGCTCACAATATTCTATTCCCAGTTGACTCAGCAGCGGTTTGTCTGATACTGGAGGCAGAGACTGTACCAGGCAGTTCCCAGGGCCAGAGTGAGCTTGAACTAGACATTGTTACACACTGGCAACCGGTATTTTGTGAACGAGAATAAGTGCTTACTGTATAATAACTCAACTACATGAGAAAGGGGGTTGGGGAAGAGAGAAGGAAGGACTGCCTCCTACATTGACCTATACATACCACCACCCCATAAAGTATGCTTTGCCCTGATGGGCCTGGGCCAGGCCAGTGCCTCTTAGCAACGGGGTTTCTGCAAACTGCTAGAAGAGATAAGGCCCTGAACATAACCCAGTCTGCTGTGAAAACTTGCTGTGCGGCACGCCTAGGAACTTCCACAGGAATTGAGATTATTTATGCCTTGGGCTTCATACCCTGTCTTCCATATCTACCACTCATCTAGCTTTCCAAGGGCATTTGTCAGCCAGACAAGACTGCAGCTGGTTGTGGCCTGGGCATGGGTGCCAACTGAGCCTGTTGCCTGGCCTAGGAGTTCTTTCATCTGCCAGAGACTCCCTGGCCCTGAGCCTTTGTCCAGCAATCTCCACCAGACCATGGAGAGAGGCTGCTGGTATCTCTGAGAAAAGCCAGGCTTTAGTGTGTATTCTCCTCACTACCAAACCTTGAGGGCTAGGGGAGTCTATGTTCAGTCAGCTGGAAATGGAGCCATTTTCCCCAAATCAGTCCCTCTGTGTGGTCATCCCACCAGTTGTCCCCACATCCCAAATGACCCTGCAAATCTCCTGTCTAAATGTGAGATGTCTCTCATCCTGTTGTGGAAGACTCCTGGACCTTTGGTTGTAGCACTGGCCTTTGGGCTAGTGGAGTATGCATTTGAACCACTTGATTTGCACTGCCATATTGTGTACTGAAACCCTGCCTCTCTTCAGTCTGTATCCAGCTCTGTGCTGCTTTCATTTGCTGTGTTATATGACTGACATATATAATCAGCATACATAAAGTATAAATATATAAAAGTAATAACTCTTGGCACCATTTTCTTAGCATCCTGAAATGATGGCTTCAGTCTAGCTGGTAGGTTTGGTGTTGGGGCAAGGGGACTACAGGGCTTAGTGGGAAGGGGGTTGGCCATTATGCCAGAAGCCTTCCCTTGTGCCATTCAGGACACTGAACTGCAGCTAGAGGCACTAGGCTGTCCTGTACTGCATTCTCTCCAGGTATGGCCTGTGTATCCAGTAGGGAAAGCAGGTGCGTCAAGAGATAATTTAAGCCAGGCATAGTGGCCCATGCCATTAATCCCAGCACACATAGAGAATTCTAGGCATGCCAAGGCTACACAGTGAGACCATGTCTCAAAATAGAGTCAGAGAGAGATTATGATTTTATTTCTTTATAAAGTTTATGCCAGGCAGTGGTGGATCATGCCTTTAATCCCAGCACTTGGGAGGGAGAGCCAGGCGGATCTCTGTGAGTTCAAGGCCAGTCTGGTTTACAGAGTGAGATCCAGGACAGGCACCAAAACTACACAGAGAAACCCTGTCTCAAAAAACCAAAATAATAATAATAATAATAATAATAATAATAATTTTATTATTTTTATTTCATGTGTATGGATGTTTTGCCTGTATGTATGTCTGTGCACCACATTCATACTTAGTGCCCAAGGAGGCCAGAAGAGGGCTTTGGAGCCTCTAGAACCAGAATTACAGATGGTTATGGGTACTGGGAATTGAGCCTCTGGAAGAACACCCAGTGCTTTTAATCACTGAGCCATCTCTCCAGGCCCAAGAAATATTTTTAAATAGTTAAGGCTGACAAGAAGGCTCAGAAGGTAAAGGTTCTTGACACCACACCTGAGGCCCTGAGTTGGAAAGAGATAACCATCTCCTGCTGGTTGTCCTTTGACTTCTGCACGTGGCCCGGGCACATGTGTGCCCATACATAAAAGGGAGTGCACGTTGTGAGCTTAGGGCAGTGTCGTCAGCCTAAAACCATCGCATCCTCTCCTTTTCACCCTACAAACCATGTGATTGCCAAACAATGGCTGCATCTCTAATTCCTGAGGCACTAGGGTTGCCAGTTCAAGGCCAGCCCAGACTACACTGATGTCTAAACAGCCACAGCAGCCAGGAAAAAGATTAAATTAAGAGACTTTTAAATGGCTGTCTATTGAACCTAGTTAAAGAGATGGAACATGGGATTTTACAGTGATTTATTATAATCCTGACTTGTGGAAGAAAATGTGCATCATTTAGCAAACATTTAAGATGCTCATAACATTTCATTTCCCATTATTCATAAATATACATGTCAGGCACTAGACCATTTAGCAAACTAATACAATTTGCAGTTTAATTCATCTGTTCACAGAATGCAATGAAAACAGATTCAGTGTCAGTTGTGCCTTTAGGTAACAAATAAGATTATATCATGCAATAATTTATGTGGCGAAGTATTTTATAACTTAGAAAACAACAGGCAAATGCTACTATTATTCTGTACCACATACCTCAAAAGATTCTATAGTAGGGTATGGTGGTAGGTGGTGCATTCCTATAAATCCCAACTGAGGCAGGACATGTGCAAGTTTGAGGATAGGCTATGCTATATAGTCACACACACACACACACACACACACACACACACACACACACACACACACTTTTTAAAAAGCAATTTTAAGAAGAAAGTGTCAACTGGGCGGTGGTGGCACACGCCTTTAATCCCAGCACTGTGGGAGGCAGAGCCAGGCGGATCTCTGTGAGTTCGAGGCCAGCCTGGGCTACCAAGTGAGTTCCAGGAAAATCGCAAAGCTATACACAGAAACCCTGTCTTTAAAAAAAAAAAAAAAAAAAAAAAAAAAAGATGTCTTTTTGTGAAAAAAGTAACTAAAAGATGTTCTCCTTGATGAAGCAAATCAAATGGAGGTTGTCGGGGTGGGCACCCCCTCAGTCATGAGCCCCACCAGCAACTTCAGAAGTTCCCGAGGAGCACACTGGAGCTGCAGCACTGCTCTGGGTGCTCTACTCACAGCTGCACAGCCTTGACTACGTAGCAAGCAGGTGGAGGCTAGCCTGGGGCTACATAAGGCGGCACTGCGTTTTTTTTCTTCTGAGACAGGCTTTCTCCGTGTAACAACCCTGGCTGTCCTGGAATTCACTCCGTAGACTAGGCTGGCCTCGAACTCACAGAGATCCACCTGCCTCTGCCTCCCGAGTGCTGGGATTGAGAGCATGCGACACCACCGCCTGGCTTTTCATGAGACATTGTCTTAAAACAAACAAACAAAAAACCTAAGTGTTGATAAGGATGTAAGCAACCAGATTTCACATAACACTGCTAGTAGGTATGTAAAATGGTACAACTTGGAGAAACTGGCATTCCCTTTCAATGTGAGGCTGCCAATCCTGATGGCTTGGTCCCATCCCTGGAACCACATGGTAAAAGGAAAGTCGACTCTCACAAGTTGTCCTCTGACTTATGACTCACACACATACACACACGGGAATGTAGGGCTGGGGAGCTTGCTGCTCTCGTGAAGACCCAACTTCAGGCTCCAGTACCTGTGTCAGATGGCTGGCTCACAGACACTTATAACTCCAGCCCAGGGATCTGATGCCTCTGGTTTCCACCAGCACGTACACTCACACAATCACATACAACCTCTGTGTGTGTGTGTCTGTCTGTCTGTCTGTCTGTCTGTCTCTCTCTCTCTCTCTCTCTCTCTCTCTCTCTCTCAATTTAAAATACAATAAAAATAAATAAATCTAATAAAAACTTTTTTTAAAAATCTAAAAAAATGGGGTTGGGGATTTAGCTCAGTGGTAGAGCCCTGGGTTTGGTCCTCAGCTCCAAAAAAAGAAAAAAGAAAAAAATTTAAAGTAAGATATTTAGCCGGCGATGGTGGCACACGCCTTTAATCCCAGCACTCAGGAGGCAGAGCCAGGCAGATCTTTGTGAGTTTGAGGCCAGCCTGGTCTGCAGAGCGAAACCCAGGACAGGCACCAAAACTTCAGAGAAACCCTGTCTGGAAAAAAAAAAAAAAAAAAGATATTTAACCTATGTCCAGAGAGTTCTACTATATGAAAAAAACAGGGGCTGGAGAGGTGGCTAAGAGTACTGGCTGCTTTTCCAGAGGACCTGGGTTCAGCTCCCAACACCTCCATGGTGACTCCCAACCACCTGTCACCACTTACAGGGGATTCACCTCCTTCTGCCCTCTTCAGGCACTGCACACACAGTGTGTACTTACATGCATGCAGACAAAACACACCCCATAAAAAATAATTTTAAAATCTTTGAAATAAAAGAAAAACAATACATGTTTCTGCTCCCCTCACTCTCCTTTTGAGATCTGGCCTCACTGTGCAGTCCAGCTAGCTTTCAACACAATTCCACTCCTCCAGCCTCTCGAGACTGAGATTATAGGTGTGCACCGTCAGGCCTGGCTTGCCACAGGAAAACAAAACTTAGACAAGAATGACTG